CAACCTCATGGCGATATTAATTTATCAGACATGAAATTGCATTTCTCAACAGTCAGTTTCTAGCCTGCGAAAATGATTGATTTGTTTTCTATGAATGCATTCACGTTGAAATATCGCTGCTCTCTGGGCAGCTGTGGGAAAGCTGTTTTCATTCAGTGGAAGCACACCGATGCCCGGAAATGTAATGGAAAAAAAATAGTTTATTTTCCTTAAAAACAGCTCTATTTACTGAAATAAATGGAGGACAAGAGTAAAATAAATAATGGCTTTGCATATAAATTTTAAGTTATATTGTTATCTTATAATTGGGTGTTTTATCATTTTCATTGAACTTTTTGTCCTTTTTTAATTGGCTTTAATTGCAGCCTGTAAAGAGGCAGCTGCAAACATACAGTCTGTGAGACTCTGACATACTTATTAGTTATTTATGTTATTTTCACGCGTTTGGGTCACATTGTACGATGGAGGGACCTGAAGGCATCTCCCAGCTTCTCCTCTTGCAGCACCTTGAGAGCTGCTGCTGGTCCCCGAGGGGCCGACGGGACGATCTTTATTATTATAATGTACTTTCCTTAATTCCCCTCTGATTGAAAACACATCTGACTTCAGCCACTCATACTTTCCTTTTCTTACCACTGAAAGATTTAACTTACAAGACATAGTCTGCACACACACGATAATAACTGGTTAATTAACAACTATTTCCTTAATGTTAACCATTAAGACGTAGCATGCTAACACGCTAGGTGTCTTTGTGTTTGCTCGTCGATGTTAACCAGGGGAAAGCAGGCACTCACATGTTGACGTGGCAGCTTCACAGAGCTGCCAACAGACGTGTAGACTCTCAGGTGTGTGTGTGTGTGTGTGTGTGTGTGTGTGTGTGTGTGTGTGTTCGCTTCCCGCCCTTTGTCTGCAGGCGGTGATAAATGCGTTATCTCACTGCACCAACGTTCCCTTTTCACGTAATAACCGGCGGGGCTTTGACTTTGTTCCTGCCGACTTCAGAAGCGTCACAGCCGCCCGTACCGTCGCCTCCTACGAAGACGTCCTAATCATACGCACACACACACACACACACACACACACACTTTGCGTGTGCGAGCGCTTGCTTTCAGAGCGCCACGCAGAGCGAGAGGGTCAAAGGTCAAGGCAAAGCCTGAAGGGGATTGAATAATCGCTCATTGTCATCAAGGTGAAAGACGGACATGCGTGTAATATGAAGGCTCGAACATGAGGACGTGTGATTGACATTCTACAGACGAAGCAGTGGGACAATTAAGGTAAGTGTTGTTTTGTGTAAAAGTACAATTACTTCATGATTTATTAAACAATTAGATGATTATATGCAACATGTCTTTAAGGATTAATGACATTATGGATTCATCTAGTGATATTTTCTCTCATTACTTGTTGTTTTTTGGAGTTTAAAAGACATAAAAAAGAAATGAATACTGAAATAATTCAAATGAAAAAGCAGTAAATCCTCTGAGGCTGAAACCATGAACGTATTTCGGTTAATGAATCATTTCAGATGCAGAGTTTTGTGAGCAAACATCCACCAATTCACTGAAGTGAAGTCAAAAGTACATTATTTCCATGTGGAATGTGGTAAACACACTTAAACGCAGTGCATGAGTACATTTACCTAATTGCATTCCGCCGCTCTCAGATCAAAAGGCCTCGGCACGGCAAAGAAACAGCCGCTTTTTCCTCGATCATGCGTTAAACTGGTAGTGAACCCCGGAATCCGGCGGGAGACAAAGCCTCCTCCCGCTCTTCCTTTTAAGTTGTGCACGAGTTAGCGCCGATCGGGCCCCGTTTCCCGCTCTCCAATGTGGACGCGCCGCAACGCCAGAGCCACTGATAATAGGCAGCACCTGCTCCTTTCACATCGCCATTCATCAGCCACCGGGAAAGGAAAATCCCCCCGGATCGGCCGGCGGGTCGGAGGGCCCTGCATCTGCCGCGCGGAGAATGCGACGGCGGGGGACAAAAGCTACAGAGGAACAGCGCCAATCGCACCGCCACCCGACCCCCTTTTTTTTTTTTTCTTCTTTCCAGCTGACGTCTCTGGCGGCTCGGACGGGGATTAACGTCCAATTTGCCGCTCTCTTCCTGGGCTCAGGTCTGTCCCAACAGCTCGGCACTTCAAAGGGGGCAGATGTGAGGGCAGAGGAGGGTCGGCCATTCTTCGCGGGGCAATCGGCTTAGTCGAGCTCTGTTTAAAATGGCAGCAGCACAAAAAAGGTGAAAGCTGTTTTGATGTGCTGCGGAGTGTGAGGGGTCGGGCCAGCTGTACAGTAGCCCCCCCGCCCCCCCCCCCCAACATGAGACCATGCGCGGGCTTGTTCCCTTTGCCCGCCTGCATCTCTGGGGATCAATCGGGATTAAAAAGGTCAGATTTTTCTCTCATTTGGGCAGCGTTAATGCATGTGGTATGAATGGTGTTTTTGCAGGTGCAATATGAGAAGTATATAGAAATATTTGGAAGCAGCTAATCGTCAAGACTTAAGTTTGTTGAAATTATCTTATGATTTTCTTTTTACATTTTGAGTGCAAATGGGCCTAAAGGTCAAAAATGTGGACACCAAAAAGCTGAAATATAAATTGAATGTATCCTTTGTGCAGTAATGACGATGACAGAAACTTTTCAGTGATATTTATTCAGTGGTTTTCAGCCGTCGGCTTCAGTAACCTGCAGCGCAGAAGCAACATGGAGAATCCCACATGAAATCCTTTTCTGTTTCCTTTCCTTTCCACCGCCTCCTCTCCCTTCAGGTCTCAACACGCTCTTCTCCCACCGAGTGTAGAAAACAAGCAGCAACAAGTCAGTGGGGAGCACTCGCCTCAGGTTGAGGGGAACCAGCGTAAACAAACACTGCTGGAGGGTCCGAGAGGCGATAATTCTCCAATAACCAAACCAATAACATCACTGTGGTATTTACCAATAACATCACTGTAGTATTTACCAATAACAGGTATTTACCAATAACATCACTGTGGTATTTACCAATAACCTCACTGTGGTATTTACCAATAACCTCACTGTGGTATTTACCAATAACATCACTGTGGTATTTACCAATAACATCACTGTAGTATTTACCAATAACCTAACTGTGGTATTTACCAATAACATCACTGTGGTATTTACCAATAACATCACTGTGGTATTTACCAATAACATCACTGTGGTATTTACCAATAACATCACTGTGGTATTTACCAATAACATCACTGTGGTATTTACCAATAACATCACTGTGGTATTTACCAATAACCTCACTGTGGTATTTACCAATAACATCACTGTGGTATTTACCAATAACATCACTGTGGTATTTACCAATAACATCACTGTGGTATTTACCAATAACATCACTGTGGTACTTTCCAATAACATCACTGAGGTATTTACCAATAACATCACTGTGGTATTTACCAATAACCTCACTGTGGTATTTACCAATAACATCACTGTGGTATTTACCAATAACATCACTGTGGTATTTACCAATCACATCACTGTGGTATTTACCAATAACATCACTGTAGTATTTACCAAATAACCTAACTGTGGTATTTACCCAATAACCATCACTGTGGTATTTACCAAAAAATCACTGGTGGTATTTACCCATTAACCCTCACTGTGGTATTTACCATAACCAGCGCATTGGTATTCACCATAACATCATGTAGTATTACCGATTAACTTCAATTAGTATTACCCAGTACCGGGATTGGGTATTTACCAGTACTTCAATTGGCTATTACCAAAAACTTGCATTAGCATTTAACCGCTAACCTCCATTTAGCATTTACCCAATACCTGTCTTTGCATGTACCAGTACGAGCAATGTAGTACTTACCTATATCAGGTATTAACCAATTACCATCACTGTGGTATTTACCAATAACCTCGCTGTGGTATTTACCAATACCTGCTATTTGGTATTTACCAATAACCTCAATGAGGTATTTACCAATAACATCACTGTAGTATTTACCAATAACATCTTTTTAGTATTTACCAATAACAGGTATTTACCAATAACATCACTGTGGTATTTACCAATAACATCACTGTGGTATTTACCAATAACCTCACTGTGGTATTTACCAATAACATCACTGTGGTATTTACCAATAACCTCACTGTAGTATTTACCAATAACCTCACTGTGGTATTTACCAATAACATCACTGTGGTATTTACCAATAACATCACTGTAGTATTTACCAATAACAGGTATTTACCAATAACATCACTGTGGTATTTACCAATAACCTCACTGTGGTATTTACCAATAACATCACTGTAGTATTTACCAATAACATCACTGTGGTATTTACCAATAACATCACTGTAGTATTTACCAATAACATCACTGTAGTATTTACCAATAACATCACTGTGGTAATTACCTATAACCTCACTGTGGTATTTACCAATAACCTCACTGTAGTATTTACCAATAACCTCACTGTAGTATTTACCAATAACCTCACTGTGGTATTTACCAATAACATCACTGTGGTATTTTCAATCACAGTATCATTAACTAATAACAGCACAGCAGCACTAATGAACCAATTACAGCCCAGCACTCTTAGCCAGTTACGTCACTGTATTTTTAACCAATCAAAGCAGAGCAGTATTAACCAATGACAGCAAAGTGGACCGGGACTAGGCAGAACCAACATTTGTTCTACCTACTTAGATATAATAGTTTTAGAGATGTGTCAATCCTTTTATCTGCGACAATAGAAAGTTTAATTTTGTTTGAATATCAGTCGGGAAATTAAAGACTTTTTTGTAGCATTTGTATGTCCGGTTTCTAAACTTTATTAAAAGACTTTTCAACCAACAAACTGGTCTTTTAACCAAATATTTAAATGAAAATCAAGGTTTTGAGTGCTTTGCTGATGGAGGGACGTTTAAAGTAAAATCCATGAGCAGTGTCGCAAAGACGGGATAAAAAAAACATGCAAAAACATTTTTTGTGCAGAAAATCGGTGAGATTTTATTTGCCCTGGGCTATGAGATACCACAAAGACACTGTGCAAAGAAAGCAAAGATTAAGTCACACTTATGGAGAGTCGGCAAGCACATGTCACACCAAACAAAAAAAAGATTTATATCTGCATGTTCACAATATATTGCCAAAAACGTTCATGCTACAAATGAAATACAAACAAATAAAATGTGGGCTCAAAACTAAAACAGAAATACAAAGACCTCAATCCAATTAAATCATAAATCAATACATTGTTAAAAAAACTGCTCTGCTTAATGTGTCATTCAAGTTACATGTTTCAATCCCACAACACTTTTCATTGTAACATTATCTGTTGTTTACCGTTTTTAATGGTCTGTACAAAGACCTGTTTCCAGACGCTGTAAAGAGCCACGTTTTAGCTTCGACGGATGCCGGTTTTATTCCGCAAAACAAGATGTTTCCCTCTGTCCGGTTTCTCAGAGAATAAAACCACAAAGAAAACGATTACGACAAAGTCCGGAGCATCGGCTCCGATACACAACAACTTCAACACATCATAGGAAAGGATACATGACACACATGGACTCACCAACATGAAGTGAGGTTACGCTTCTCTTAATAAAAGCGGTGTTTAAAAAAAGAATTTATAGTTTAATTTATAGTCACCTCAAGGAATCGCTTAAGTCATCAAGCAACAACTGTCGTTCTGTTGTGCTGGCTCGAATATACAAAGAAAAAAGTTTTACACTCTCTGATTTGAATGTTTGCTTCATAGTTACAGTTGGTACGCCTAGCTAACGGAGCTAAAGCTAGCCTGAGCTAATGCTAGCCAGCAGCTACCTGAGCTAATGCTAGCCAGGAGCTACCTGAGCTAAAGCTAGCCAGCAGCTACCGGAGCTAATGCTAGCCAGGAGCTACCTGAGCTAAAGCTAGCCAGCAGCTACCTGAGCTAGAGCTAGCCGGCAGCTACCTGAGCTAAAGCTAGCCAGGAGCTACCTGAGCTAGAGCTATCCAGCACCTAGCTACCTGAGCTAAAGCTAGCCAGGAGCTACCTGAGCTAAAGCTAGCCAGCAGCTAGCTAACTGAGCTGACTGATGTTGGCAGCTTTAGGTCTCTCCAGCATGTGTTGTTATTCAGGACAAACACATATTTGGGTGAGATTGTTTAAAATGGACAATCAAACATTTGCCGTTAACCTTCGAGCAGATTAATTAAATTATCTTTGTGAATTGAAAGAAATCTAAAGCTCAACTTGAAAGTCAGACTGTGCTTGGCTGTGATTGGACAATGGCTGGTTGGGGGAGGGGTTTAGCAAACAATCAATTTCTCAAACATTTGGCACTGCAAGTTACAAAGATGAATCCAAAAATTCCTAACTCTAATGATTGCCTTTTTTTTATCGCTAGTGGTTCTCCAAATTATGTTTTTATAACACATTTTTTTAAATTTGAATGTTAATATTTAATTTCCTAAAAGTGCAAGCAAGCAGGTACAAATCAAGCAGAAGCGCGGATGAGACGACCAAATCGTTTTTCTCTTCATTGTTTTTCATACAGAATTTGAATCAGCTTTAAAAGCAGGAGTTAAAAAATATACTAAAAAAATTGTCATATAATTGTCAATATAAGCAGACTGGTATTGCTGTAGCTTATCGATTATTAGTAACACATTTCTAAGCTGGTAGGAGAAGGTGCGACAAAACACACAACAGATACACAAAAAGTACAAATAAAGTAAAAATGAATGAAAATACAGACTATGAACCTGAACGACGGCGATGGAACATACTGTCGTTTTTTTCAAACGACGTCCTCTCAGTCGTCGTCGCTCCTGTCCGACTGATCCTGCAGAGAGACGGACATCAAGAGGCGTTACGGGAGAACGAGGTTCAGAGGGGAGAGGAGGAAGCGACCGTCGGGTCACGGGGGGGGCTCTTTATCGAGCGCCCAGCGGCACAGCGACGTGACTCTCGGCCACACTCCGGCTGAGATGTTGAACCTGCAGTTTAGTGTCGAGAATTGAACATTTTAAATCCTCCAACTTGTGCTGAAGGGGAAACAATGTCGGATCCCAGTTGGTTTAATATCCGGGTAGAATATAAAAAATGTATTACTGCTGTTGTTAAACTGGATTCAGACCGATGGAGCTGTCACCTGTTGACCAAGGTGTCATATTTCATATCAAATTCCTATCGTTTAAATAACCTTTTAAAGAGCATATTAAATGTAGAGCCGACGAGATGGAAAGATCGAATCTCAGATGAAAACTCATCTCCTGTCTGTTCACAGCACTTCACTTCACGAGACACTTCCCTAAAAATAAGTCCACGCATCTCACTGAGATGGATCGATTCGCAGTCGATCCATTGAATTGGTTGAGTGAATAAAAGAAGGTATAATGACACAACGTTGGCTTTAATCAGACAGACGTGTGCGGCGTGTGGGAGGAGGGTCAATGAGCCGTTGATCATGTCACAATGAGGGCTAAGTGGCGGTTGCCATGGCTTCGAGTCCTCATTACCGGTTTTGTTGCGCTGGCAGCAGATGAGAGGGACGAAGGGACAAAGGAAGCAGCGTAATGCAGTTTAATACAGTCATCGCTGACAGGTGTCTTACAGGCGAGGCTCACTTGTAGATTCCCCCGGGGGGGGGGGGTTTATTTCATCTTTCTGGCTCTTGTTCACATGTGATGTTTTCTAGTCGGGGGAAAGTGTGTTTTTGTAAGTCGGCGCTGAGTCATCGACGCTCCGCCTTCGCTCTGATTTAGAGGACTGGAGGCTTTTCATGTCTGATGAAAAGGACTTGGGGAGCTTCCCACAGTTTGGAGCTTTCTGTGCTTCACCGACTCTGACTTGACATTTTGACACCAATGGGAGCCGTAAGCCTCCGCTAAGACAAACAATAGAAGAACGGAAAGCGCTTATTAATATTTGACACGCTGAAGCAACCGATAATTCTCCAACGTCTCAAGTATCGGCGGGTAACGTGTTGCTGCTTTTTATTTCTTTAGTTTAAGTGAGACTTCAACTCCTCTGCGGACTCACGGCATCATCTGTCCGCGAGGCGACGGGCCGCTCGTCTCCTACGGGGACACGTCGTCCAGCGGATACGACAGCTACGGCAGCTTAGGTAGCGCTAGCTCGCCTCGCTAGGAAGGAAACGGCTTAATGCTCCCGACCGACGGGCCTGTTGTGCTACACAGAGGTTTGGGAAAAGGTCCAAACTGTGGAGACCGCGAGGCGAGGGCGGGGTCTGATTCTGAGGCGTTAACATCGTTCAGCCATTTTAAACCAGGAGGCACCAGGTTTCCAGCGACTGTTGATTGGACAAAAGCACCAATTTGAAAACACCTTTTGGAACCTGTGATGTGATTTCTTTTATTTTCTTATTACAAAGACAAATGGTCGCTAAGTGCGACGAACGTTTACTCATTACTCATCACAGCAATGGACGCCGTCCTGATGGCACTGAGGAGGCTTGTTTCAGTAAGTGGTACTTTTGAAGCAAGAGACCTGCATCTCAAGTCACTGCTTCGAACCTTCGTTACTCGCCGCTGTGAAAGCGCCGTTAAGTTTCTCTCCAAGAACTATTTGAATATCAACATCTGCTCATCAAAAAGCACTCTGCGCCAAAGTGCCCATTTTTGACAGTTTACCTGCAATTATGCAACTATTGACGTCTGCAATTTCCCCCTTTTCTGTCTGCGCGTGAATGTGGTGAATACAGAGCGCGGCAGTGACTCCACCTACGTTGTCGTCCAGGTCGTCGTCGCTGTCGTCGTCGCTGACCACCGGCTTGGCCTTCCCCCGGCTTTGCCTCTTCTTGCCCTTGTCCTTACCCAGCTTGATCTTCACCCGCACCGACTTGGCTGCAGTGGAGGAAGCACACGGAGAAAGCATTTCTGCGTGGGACTCAGTAACCGCGGTGACGGCGAACTGCGGCCAGTGCGGATTCTTTTTCCTCCGGTCTTCCTAGCAGAGAGCGGCGAGGTGCGCAGAGGACGTACCCTCGGCCTCCGATTCGTCCTCGTCCTCCTCTTCCTCCTCGCTGTCGTCGTCGCTCTCCTCATCTTTGGCGATCTTCTGCCGGGCACTTTTGAACACGGACTGAAGCACAATGGAGTCCTCGTATATCTGTGTGGGGGAGGGGGGACAGACGGGATCATGTGAGCAGTTCCTCAAACAGCATCAACGGGATTACGTGTATCAACACCATTCATGATGGACATGATGGACACTGAGCAGCGCTGCTTTGAATGATGGACTTCAATCGCTTGGACGGCTTCAGGCGGCTTCGCTTGCTTTGTGACTCCAGGAGTCTTAGAAGTCTTAAATGTGTCTGGTGTCCTCAGACCGACGATCCCAAAACAAAAGTGATATAAAAAAAAGTAATTTACCTTTGCGTTATGTTAGCTGGGAGGAGAGAGTGTCAAGTAACGATTACGCTGTCACAATAATTGCTTTATTTCAGGGTTATTCAATTCAATTCAATTAAAAGTTCAAAGGCGTCCACGGAGGGAACGTTCTGGAACTTGACAATAACGTATTGGAGTAGCACTTTTAAAGCAGACGAAGAACGTTCAATTCAATATATATGTCAGATATAAATTCTAATAATAGATCCATATTCTCCACTTTTTCAAGTAAAATCTAACAAAGCATTTGAATGAAATAAACGAAGTTGAAATAAATAAGGGTCAAATGGAAGTGAGGCTGACCTGGGAGCCCTCCAGGTTGAAGGTCTGCGCGTTGTGACACAGCAGCATCACGTCTCTCTCCAGGTCCCCGACTCCTCGGTATTTATGGTTCCTCACGCGGTCCTGCAGAAGGAAAAACACAGTACAATAGAATCACCGGCTTGAGTCAAACGGGTCTTCCCTCACTTTCAAAGAGGGATTATGAGGGACATGTTCCTAAGTGGCACTTTGTCACGATGTTAATTAGGGCAGCGACTGATCGGTGGAAATCTATTAATCTCACAGAAAGCGGGCGAATAAAAGAAGCACAAACGCGTTGTTTCTGCTCTTCGACCCCCTGCTCGTTATTATTGGTTATTGTCAGCGTTTCGTACTTTGATCTTTTTGAAGTCCACAGGTTTTCTGATCAGCTCGTAGTATTCTGGGAGCTCCTTCCTGGACGGTAACTGGACGAAGACCTCGCTCAGCTGTCTTCCTGACCTGTGAAACACAACCAGTCAGCAGCGCGTCGTTCACGTGTCACAACAAACACAGCCGGGACTTTCCGTCAATATTAACGATTAAAGAATCCACAATGCAGGCGTGTAAAAGAACAGTTCAATCCACAACTAAAGACAAGTGACTGCAGGAGCGTGTTGGAGGCGGAAGCGTCGACGACTCAGCACCAACTTACAAAAACACACTTTTCTCCTTTTCTCCTCCTTCGCCTTAAATTGATTGGCAAGAAAATTACAACTGTGTGTTTAAAAAATAAAAATATATCCATTTCAAAGTGGTTCTCTAAAATGTGAATAAAAAACCCTTCTACTCGTGCATAAACTGTCCATTTGCATCCTCGGCGTGTTGTTTTGTCACCGCACACGGAACACGCTGTCAGCAACACGTTACCTAAAGTGCTCCTGATGACACAAACTAACGGTGCGAGCGCCTTCCGCTGTGAGCTAACGTGACTGTTTATAAAAAAAAAGACTCCCGGCGTCATGGCAACAAGCACCTCCGGGAACAAACCCCAGGGTGGACGTTCGGGGGAGACGCTGATGAATGGAAATGTGACGCCGTGGTTTGGTTGCGCCGGACAGCAGGAAAACAAACAACGCTTTTCGAAAAACAAGCTCCAACATCTGTATTCAGGCGCACACCTTAACCGCGTGATGAGGCGCCGTTTATTAACTTCCAGGAAGCTTCACGACATCATTTAAGCCGCACGGCCTTCGACCGGGGAAGAATATCGCTGAGAAAACGCATTCTGTGTCATCCTGCAAATGGGCACCGACGATGGTGGTGAAGTCGGATACACATTTCCCAGCATGCAAAGCAGCAGGAGACCCGGTGTGTGTGTGTGTGTGTGTGTGTTGGACCTCTGGATCATCTGTATCTAAGGCTGCTTACCCGTCCCTGTAGTTGATGACGGTGTCGATGATGGTGTTCATCTGCTTGGTGAGCTTGGGCGGGTTGGGCGAGTGCTTCTCGGCTGGAGGACGCCCACGTTTCTTCTTGGCCTTGGAGCCCCCGTCGTCTCTGCTCGAGAAGTCCTTGTCCGGGCGTCTCTTGCGTTTGCGCTTCTTCAGCCGGATCTCCTCCTCCATCTCCTCCAGGTTCCCGTCCTCGACGGCCTGGAGGGGAGGAACGAGACATTTTTAAAGTTGGATCCACTCACAGAGGAGCAGGTGCGTAGCATTTCCTACACAGAGCCCGCAGGTCTCTGCGCGTTTCTTCTTCTTTTAACAGAAAGAGAACTACGGCTTCCAACACGCCGACTGCACCGCCTCACAGTTGTTTTGTTCTATTCTGAGCCACGGCCAAAAACATGGATGAGGAGCCGCTTTCGGGAGGGACGGGGGGAGGAGGAGGGGGGGAGTGTGTCACTGCGTGTTTGATGTGATTGACAGTGTGCCACCAGCTGAACACAGTCAGCCCTTCAACCCAGTATTCATATATATGTATATGTATATATATATATATATATATTTTTTTTTATATATATATATATATATTATATATAAAAAAAAATTTAAATATATATTATATTTTATATATATAATATATATAAAAAAATATATATATATAATATATATATATATTTTTATTATTTATTTATTTATATATTATATATATATATATATATATATATCATGTATCATCAATGTCACGTTGCATTAATACCAGTGTTGGAGTGTAAGTTTAATTGAGTATTAGATTATTTTAGTACATCCATATATACGTGTATATATTCTCAGCCTTTACCCGCAGCCACTGCTTTTCAGTCAGCGTGTCGCTGTAGTCGACGTCCCGGCGGCAGCGGGACCCTCGGCCGAACATCTTCTCCTCCTCCTCCTCGTACGTGAGCCGCTCCACCTCGGCCTCGTCCCTGATGATCCAGGAGGGCAGCTCGTCCTCCTCCATGAGACGGGGCTTACGCTTCGGGTTCCTGGCCTCCTCGCGGCGTCGGTCCATGTCCATACGCTACGGAGTGAGGGGGGTGGGATGGAAATGTTTCCATTACACAGATTGGAAACAATCCCACGCAGTGGGGGCTGGGTTATTAACACCGACCTTCTATGACCTGATATAAGAGCCCATCCACACAAACACGTGTCCATCAACCACCAGAGTCCCACCTGCCAACCTCCAACCGCATGCATTAAGCCATTTGCTCATAACAGAAAGCATCTGGAGGACAGTCTGTGAACAAATGGTGACATTTAACCCGGCTGACGAAGTGATGGACAACCTGTCCTTCTTTTGGAGGGCAGATGTAGGACAACCGGCAGCCAGCCGCTCCTCCCTGAGTCCGCTCATCACAAAGTCTCAGTCTGCCATTTGGACCGAAGGACGCTGTTTTCTCACCATGAAGAGCTCAAATTCGTCTTCGTTGCGGGCGATCATCTGGTTGAGGGTTTCGTCGTCGGGTATCTCATCTTCTTCCTGGGGAAATATTGGGAAAAACTGTTTAAACGGCAAACACATTTAATCAAACACAAATTAAAAAGTTGAGATTGCACAAGAAAAACATGCAACATTAACGGTAAGTCAACGGTTTGCTTTAATTTGATGTCTGCAGAACCTCGATCAGAAGCAGCATCCATAATTGAACTTGAGGAGGATCAAATCCATTTAGAGCCTCATTCATGTTTCACAAGATCATATCAGATGGAGCGCGAATACCTAAAATGAATAATGAATGAGAATAAAGTGCACACCGCTGACCTCGTTCTGCTCCTCGGTCTCCAGGATGGCCTGGAGGAAGGCCCGGCGCTCGTGGCTCGAGGACTTCTGGTCGAACATGCCCGCCTGGATGACCTTCTGATCCACGTTGAGTTTGTATTTGGCGGCCGCCAAGATCTTCTCCTCCACGCTGTTGACGGTGCAGAGGCGGAGCACGCGCACCTCGTTCTGCTGCCCGATGCGGTGGGCGCGGTCCTGAGCCTGAAGGTCCTGGAGGCGGCGGAGAAGAAAAGGAGAGCGCGAAAAACGCTGTCACTTTCCTCTTTAAATCCTCTTTAAAACTGCCAAAGCTCTGCCGATGGACGAACCTGGTGCGGGTTCCAGTCGCTGTCGAAGATGACCACGGTGTCCGCGGCCTGCAGGTTGAGGCCGAGGCCGCCGGCTCTGGTGCTGAGCAGGAAGATGAAGTACTGAGATCCCTCCTCGTTGAACTTCTTCAGCAGCATCGCCCGGTCGTCGGACTTGGTGGTTCCTGAAATGTGATCATTTTTCAAGTTTTGTCTCTGATGTGAAGCTATTTGAAAAGGCAAACTGCCTTTTTTTCTTCTGAAAAGGCCCCCGCCGTGACTCTAATGGATGAAGATCAGCTTCTGCACTGGGGCACATTTCCACAATGGAACAGGATATTTTTTGCGAATAATTTGTATTTGATTGGACAACTAAAGAGTAGACGGGCTATCCATCCGTCATTTTACACCATCTGAAGTTCACCTCCAGCGGGGAAGTGTCCATGGTCTCAATTTCCACATTGATTTCTGCTCCCTTGTTATACAATTTCAAATTATTAGCGGCCCAGACGCCCAACCTGAGGCTTCAAAACACCCGCCCACCAGCCAATGGTGGTCGTCATGGAAACTTCACCCACTTCCTGTAAGCAGTTTGAGCCAAGACTCCACATTGTATTGTTTATTAACTCCTTAATAGTTCTATGGGCTTATTGCAGCACCACGTGACATGAAAACCCAGTTTATGACCACCAGTGGGGAAAAGGGTCCACAGCGACTTCAGGGCCGGTGAAACGACCACAGCGTGAGCTCACCGTCCAGACGCAGGTACTGGAAGTTGCGGTAGCCGAAGTAGTCCTCCATGATGGTCATGAGGGTGGTCATCTGGCAGAAGAGCAGCACCCGGTGGTTGGTGGCCTGCAGCTTGGGCAGGATGCGATCCAGGAGCTCGAACTTCCCCGACGCTCGATACAGCTCCAGTCTGGGTGGAGGTGACGGAGCAAAAAGATGGTGGTTGTTGCTCATTAGTCTGGTTACCAGTACGCTGAGGCCTCATTTCTTCTTCTATTTAAAGTAAAGAAGCTGTGCTCTGCTGCCTTTTAATTAAATCCAAAAATTATCCAGATCATACGCTGCACTTTATTTATAATCATGTATTTTATCCTGTTTTAAATGTTGCTTTTGCTCTTTAATGATTGAATCTGAACACATTTGAAGGTCCTCATGCACTTTGTTTCAAGGATTTTCGTGTTTAGTTTAAAGCACTTTAAGAGGCCGTGTTGCTGAAACGTGCAACATAAATAAACTTGTCTTATCTTCTTCCAGCACGTACTCTAAATCGCTTGTCTTGTAAAGCATTTCAGTGATATCGATTAACAAAAGAGTCGTGTTGCTGGCTGATAGCCAGTGTGTGTGTGTGTGTGTGTGTGTGTGTGTGTGTGTAATACTTGCATTATAAGATACCTCATTGATTTGAATTCATGCAAATGATCTTTTGTTTATTCACTGCACGTCGTGCAGAACAGTTCCGTGCTGTGGTGTGTATATACGAACATATATATTTATATAAACACATATAGGTGGTGGCTGTAAAGAGAGTCTAAGAAAATAAGTCATTTAAAAATCCTCCTTTTCTTTGACACAATGTTGGGAATATACTTCAATCCTTTTGTTTGTGACAATCTCAGAAAGTAGAAAAGCATCGACCTTCCCTGTTAATCATTAATGAGCTAATCTAAATCTTAACACACCAGAACAAAGCTGTCTGCAGAAATCAATGCACTTATCAGGAACTAGATCCATTTCAACAATAAACACATTCATGTATTTCACCAGTGTTTCATAAAGTAACTGTTAGATATTTATTTGGTGCTCGTGAATTCTTAATGTCAGACAATAAAAGTGTTAGCAGACCAATAAATAACCATTGTTTCCCAGATCGGACACATGATACGTCCTCGAAGACACAATTATTTCTCTTCCAACGCTGAATAGCATTGAGGGATGGACACATATTGGTTTTACTTACCCACTGATGACATTGCTTGGGAAGCCCAAGTGTTCAGCAAAAGACTCCTGCAACACAAAAAGCGTTACTGGTGTGGATAACGTGTAGAAAACCAGGGAACAAGTGTCTTTTCTTCACAGCTGATAATCACTTTATTAATAGATAAATTCTGCACGTCACAAAAGGACATAAACAACACACACACACACACACACACACACACACACACAGAGAGGAGGGCGGTGTCGGACCCACCTCGATGTGCTGGAACATGTACGGGTGGTTGCAGATCTTCTTCAGCTGCATGATGGTGTTCATCAAGGTCTTGGCTCCTCCTTTGCCCTGCGGACACCAAGCGGCGCCGGTCAAACGCGCTGAACACGTCATGGAGAGAGCGAGCGCGCGCTCGGCCGTTTTTTGGCGTTTACCTTCTTGTCTTTCTCCGAGCCGTCGGTGAGCAGGATGCCTCTCTGCATGTGGCGGTACAAAACCTTCTGGATGGCCGACATGTCGCACTTCACCACGTACTCCACCTGCGGGAGCGACGACGCGGTGAGAGGAATAACGGGGGCACTTTTTGCAGTAAACAGTCTTTAGAATTCATGTGGCTGTTTGGGAGAGCAGGACCTTGCCTGTGTGTGTGCGCGTGCTGGTTGTGTTAACTACACACAGTGAAGTCCAGGCGGCGTGAAAGCACATTTTCTAACAGCGGACTGCCTGCATCCCTCCGTGGATTAAAGGTTTGGTGGCTTTCAACTTAAAAACTGAAATGAAACGCTTTATCTAATATTCCCCCTCAGGGCCTCGTCTGTTTAGACGCTTTTTCGGAGCCTCAGGTGGGATTTTTCAATCATGTCAAGATGTTTCTGGGAATCATCGAGGGGGGGGGGGGGGGCGGCGATGACGACCCGCTCGCCTTAACTGCTGTTATTACAGTTCTTTCGCTGCCTCGTTGGGATGCATTTAAACCAGCAGCACAGAGGGCGTTGGATCCTGGCGAGGAAAGACCTCCATGGAGTCTGTGGGCTTCGAGCCGCTCGCTCACGCAGCCAGGAGGCACGGGGCCAATAATTCACTAAGTAGTAAATAATGTTTCATTTCAAGGGTGTCAAAGGCCGTGCATCCGGGGCTTCAATTAAAAAGGTCGTACGTGACTACGAGATAAGAGCCGCCGCACTCTGCAGAGCATATCAACCAAAACCACGGGAATTATTTCAAACATTAAAAACATGTTTTAATAGGACCGTTTTATACGGGAATTGAATAGCAAAAACACTGACTGGATGAAAACACTGTGGTGGTGCTGCCAATGCAACAATAGCGTTACAATGATGCATTGTTACATTGTTTCACTGTGACAATGCAACGATGTAACAATGTTACAATGTAACGATGTAACAATGTTACAATGTAACGATGTAACAATGTTACAATGTAACAACGCTCCGCAGGAAATCAAAGTCTCACCTTCTCCGGCAGCTGAGACTCCACCTCCTTCTTCAGTCTGCGCAGCAGGAAGGGGCGGAGCACCTTGTGCAGACGCCGGATGATCAGGATGGTCTCCTCTTCGTTCAGGTCGACCTGACGACAGAAAGATGCAACACAGAATGCTGTGTCAGCACTGCGCGTCCAGATGACGTGACCTTAGAACTGCAGTGTAAGCCGACACAAGAAGGCCACACACACACACACACACACACACACACACAGAGTGGATTCTCTCGGAGGCTTTCAGCGTGGCCAGTGGTGAGGCTGGTGGTCAATTAAAAAGCCCCCCATGGAGCCTTCACTCTGGCATTCACGGCCAGCAACATCGCCCCAGAGATGGAGCCGACGCGTCCGTCTTTTTTACTTGATGGAAAAAATAATGAATTCCCGTCAAATAAAGCGGATAGAAAGCCAGCTGAGTTAGATGCACCAGTCTGGGCTCCGGGAGGCTGTTTACAGCCGAACTGTAAGAAAAGCAATGTGTTTACACCACGTGGTGTAAATACAGCTGCTGTCTGTTAAGAAGACGGATCGTCCTCTTAGCGGAGTCCAGCGGCCTCGTTAAAAAGCCGTAGAAACGCAGATCAACCTTGAACTATGAATACGTTCCATTAACTCGGCTCGCTCTCACATTTCTTTTCTTCTTTGGACTTTCCTCCCAGTGAGGCGACCCTGAAAGCAGCAGGTTTAAAGTTTAAACAGCCAAGGGAGAGTTACGGGTCTGAAAAACAAAGCATTTCTTTTTACAGCAAATTGGGTTCCTAGCTTCAGGGCAGGAGGACGGAACGAGCTGCTGTAGGGGGGGGGGGGGGGGCCGTGGCGGTGGTGGGGGGGGGGGGTGGGGCTGTCAAAGCGATCAGACCTTGTGGGCGAAAACAAACCAAGAAGTTAATTGCTGGTAAAGATGCTAATTTCTCTCTGACCTTCGCTGTGGGGAATCATGACGATAATAATGATGTCTTATGCCTTGAAAACTTTATACTAAACCTCGCTCCACCTTTTCAGTAGAGGTTGTGTGTGGGGGGGGGGGGCTGTGTGCTCGTACGTACCCGCTCCCCCGTCATGGCGAACGGGGCGTTGAACCACTGCTCGAAGGTGCTGCAGCTCTTGAAGATGGTGGGCAGCAGGAAGTTGAGCAGCGCCCACAGCTCGGGCAGCTTGTTCTGCAGCGGCGTGCCGGTGAGCAGGAGGCGGCGCGGCGCCACGTAGTGCGTGTTCAGCACCTGCGTCAGCTTGCAGTGGTGGTTCTTCATGCGGTGGCCCTCGTCCACGATCATGTACTTCCAACGGATCTGCGCGTGCGCGGAGGGGAGAGACTTTAAAAAAAGGTTCCCGCCTCCGGGAACGAGCGACGCCGACTCAGACCAGCGGGTCACACGATGTCCGGACATACAGACGGAAAGATGACGTGACACGAAGCGCCTCTCAGGTGGGCCTTCAAGACCACGACCTGAACAACGCTGCACGGATAGCAGCGGGCTACGCGGCCGGAGTGACGACGGGTGGGAAGAGCGGATTGTGTGGTTGTGAGTTTACGCGAATCAGCAGCAAAGCGTCTCCCGGTGACCTCCTTTCGCTGCGCTGCACGCCGGCATCACAATTGGTATGCGAGCGCACACAAGCACACGCAGACAGTTTGATCAGGTGTGTTGTGAGCAGCCTGCAGCACAAATACACAACGCCGCTCCCTGATTAGACATGACACCGACGTGTGGCTGATCAAAGGGCCGCTTCGGCCTGGATAAGAAGAAACGACGGAGGCCTTGCTGTCACGCCCCCGTTGTAAGTCGCACAAAGAAACCCGCCAGGCGCGGGACACTCACGTCGTTAAAAGAGCTCAACGCACAGCCGGCTCTTTTCCTTCTAATCTCCGAGATGTTCTGAAGCAGCTGGAGTTCCTCCATCGCAAGATGGATCCTCCGGCGCCGTGCCTCACAGCCGGGGCCAAGAGGCGGGCGAGCAGATTGGGGATTAACCAGCGACGCGTCCGTAGAACTATTAAACAAACCCTCTGTTCTCTGCAGGATGAAGCTTCATCTAAAGAGACTTTCAAACCAATTCTGCCTTCAAAGAGATGAGAAACGTTTCTGTTTCAGCCTAAAAGGCAACGAATATCCCGACCTCATTCATCAGCTTAATTCACGCTAAACAGCACGCGTCCCTCGCTACCTGATCTCAGCACAGACTGGAAACGTGTGCATATGTGTGTGTGTGTGTGTGTGCATGAGGTGTACAAAACAGCAACTGGGTGGATGCACGAGGAGTGCGTTCCTCCACCTTGGCCAGGATGTTCTTGTCCTTGATGATGTACTCGTAGGTGGTCAGCAGGACGTTGAACTTCCCGCTGCGGAGTTGCGGCACAAGCCCCCGGCGCAGCACGGGGGTCCCCTTTAGACGGGCCGGACGCAGAGAAAAGCGTCAGTCGGGAGGTAAGCAGACGGGCAAAAACCAGAAAGTTCAAATGCTACAAGACTCTTACCTTGTAGGCAATTTTGACCACGGAGGGCGACCACTTCTCCAGTTCGTACAACCAGTTGGACAGAGTCCTGGGGAGAGAGGAGGAGGAATCAGCAGGCAGGACGTTGTTTGGGGGAATTCTAGACACAAAGTGGCATAAAGGCAGAAGCAGCAGCACCGGTTTTGCAGTCTGCTCGTGACTCCTTTTGCTTTAATAATGGAGTTATTACGAGTTTAAGAACATCACCTACAGGGTTTGGAAGACGTGAACATCTGATCCATTTTTCACGACGTCGGGGTCTAATTTGCTGGATAAACATCTGAAGAAAGTCTCCTCCGAAATGCATTATGAGTGGTAAACCACACACACACACACACAGCGCAGTCTGCATGCTCCCCGTGAGCTCACATGTTGAAGAGAAAATCCATTTCCCCCTCTTATCCATCAACGCCTCTAGTTGTAAAATGCCACACAGAGGTATAAATGAATTAGGTGAACTGGGACATTGGGTCGTTCACAATGACCAGAACAGTGGAGAGGTTTGTGTTTGAAGGATTTAAAGGGATTAATGGTGCAAAAGCAGCGGGAGGAAATCACACATTTTGATTAAAAAAGCGTCCAACCTGTGAAACTTTTAAAAACAACTAAAGGAAGATGAGACAAAGTCGACCCGACTAGAAGATCTGACAACTCTGTTTTCTCCCCCGTAGACTTCTAACGTGACAAGAGTCTCCCACAGCATGTTGCATTATGGGTCGTTTTCAGCCCCGATGTCATGAGGACCACTGTGTCTTTAGGAGTCAATTATGTTGAGCGGCGTCAGAGCCCGGGGGTCCCATAACGAGAAGGGTACTTACGAGAGGGGGACGATGATGAGGAAGGGCCCGTTGATCCTCTTGTACTCCATCAGGTAGGTGATGAGGGCGATGGTCTGGATGGTTTTGCCGAGGCCCATTTCGTCGGCCAGGATGCCGTTCAGGTTGTTGTTGTACAAGGAGACCATCCACTCCAGCCCCTGAACCTGAATTACACAGAGGGACAAAAGGCACGCCGGCCTTTGAGAGCTTCTCCAGAGCCGCTGAGATCCAAAGGGGGAAGCGCTTGAGGTGTTTGAAGAGACCATCGAGGAGAAGGACTTGTCTAATTACACGTCAAAGAGGCTAAATGTTGTGCTGCCAGAGCCTCAGCCTGTTCAAAAGGGCAGCAGTGACATTCTGAATACTAAACGGAGAAATGCAAGCGTCCCGCTCGCTCTTCTCAAATGTCGACCGCCTCTTTTATCTTCTAAGAGATAATCTCTATCGCTTAAATCCGTCTTCACCACGCTCAAAGGGCAAAAATTAAGAGAAAATTACGATTAGTTTCTGGACTAATTGCCACAAAATGATAAACAAATGTTTAAACAAGTCAACATCTCCAAATAGCCAGTTTATTTGATATTTCATTTACTCAACATACAATGAAGAAAATAATCAAATCCTCTAAACTGAGGAGCTGTACTGGAGAGTATTTGGCTCACACTATAAATTCCAAGTCAAAGTTCAGCAGGATGATCGTGGTTTGATGCATGTTTTCCTCCACTTGTCTAATTGCAATGGGAATGACTGATTATTATAATGGTCACTTGATGCCACAAACACCTCGACAAACAGAGACGGGATAACCTAATAAAGCTGTCACTTATTTACTAGCTTAAGACTCTGGGAAGGAACTACGGTAACATGATGTAAATTCTATACTCTTGTTTGAATGCTTTTCATTGCGAGTTGTGCAAACGTGCAAGCGGGGAACAAAGCAGCAGGAAAGGGAAAAGGGAAAAGGGCACAAGGGCCCACGGCAGCGCCAATTAGCGGCTGCGCTAATTGCACCTGAACGAGGCCGACGGGGGGTAAAACTGACCAGAGATGAGGGGGAGTCGCCCCGTACAAAAGCAAAGCTTCTGTAAATTAACGGGTTTGTTACGGCAACAATTGATCCAATTATCGTGCAGCTCACACACCGCTGCAGCACCCCCCCCCCCCCCCGACCCCCTTCCGAGGAGCTGCCACAATATCGCACAGCATAAATCACAGGAGTGCTCGAGCTGCAACCAGACTGGAGGAGAAGAAGTGGTAGCAGCATCCAATTACCAGTTCGGGTATCTCCGGTAAGACACCATCTTTCACTGCCGTGTCCTCTCGCTGCAGGGGACGGGATTACGGTCGGACCGGGGGGCTTAGCTCTGATATCCATCAGGGTGCAGCATTGAAATCCATGACGAATGCTAATTAAAAATCTTTTGAGTTTTAGTTCCGTCTTTTTTTTTTTTGCTCAACATTTTTTTACCTCCTTTTTTTGTCACGGGTATTTTCTCGACTGAAATATTTACTTTTCTTTCAAAACATTTTTGGACTTAATAGTTTTGGACTTTTTCCATGACATTTTTGGACTGAATATATTAAATATGTTGAATACTATAAAATAAATATTATAAAATATAAAAATATTTTTCCATAAAATCTTTTTTTTTATTTTTGACCTAACAATATTTTGACTTTTTTGAAAACATTTTCCATTTGATTTTTTTCTTTTCTCAAAACATTTTCTGACTTAATAATTTTTTACTTTTTTTCAATGACATTTATTGATGTAACATTTTAATTTCATTTAATTTTAAAAATTTTTGTAAAGAAAAGCACTGCTTCTATCACTGTAAAAACTCCTTCATAACTGTATTTATTCAAAGTTTCTCTCACACCAAAGTTCATTTTACAAGATTGCATTTGATTCAGAGTAGAGCTTGAACTCACCATACAACCCAACTCCTCCGCGGATTACAGGTAAAAATTGTCTAACTTTACGGCGCATTTACAGAAAGGTTTTCCATTAATGTGCACTGTCCCGTATCAAATAAAAACCTGGTTGTTTAATATTTCATATTTTATAAACCCTTTGATCTTGAAGATTTGACAACGCTTCAGTGTTTTAAAGTGAAATGATAAGTTAAAATAGAAAGGTAACAAACTTCCATCTGACACACAATGTAGATAGAAAATAACAAGCGCTGAAAAGGTAAAAAACAAATAAGCGTAAAGAAACGCTGCAGCAAAGGTGCATACCTGGTAATGTTTGAGTGTGCCGTTGATCAGCAGGGACGACTGCTTCTCCACCCTCTCGATGACGGCGTGCGCCACGCCGTAGTAAGACGACTGGGAGCTGGTCTGTCCAGCGGGGACGCTGTACTCGTCGTCCACGTCCTGCTTGGACGACCTGAACGTGCGTGAAGAAGAAGGATCGTTGGAAAGCTCCCTGAACCCCGACTGGACAGTCGCACGTTATTATGCCGATAACGAAGAGCTTCTTTTCTTTTGTTTCCTGGTCAAAATTATGTTTTTAAGTTTGAATGTTTACTGTAGTTGTTTTAACAAGAACCATAAATACAACAGAGAGAACATTTAACAAGTTACAAAGTGGCCCGTAAACTTTATTCCCCACTGTTTATTCCTGGTAAATGGGACATGAGCGTGAGAGGGGAAAGTATACGAATGGAATACATTACTCGATAATTTTGTTGGCGGCCGTCACAAACACTTCCACTCCGTTGGGGTCGATGATCTTCTCGTCCTCCATGTCCGCCTTGGGCCCCTCCTCTTCCTCCTCGGAGGGCAAAGTGGACAAGACATGACTGAGGGCTCAATCCGTACAAACACAATAGACCAGAGCTGTGCAACAGCAATGTGCGCACAGCTACCGCCCCCTGCTGGACTCTCATGACACTGCGTGTGTGTGTGTGTGTGTGTGTGTGTGTGTGTGTGTCCTCCTCAGGACGGAGTTCATTAAAGACAAAGTCACTCACCTCCTCCTCGAACTCGGAGCCGCTCTCCTCGCTGTCGGACCGCGGGGCCACTTCATACCTGGTTTGGAAAAGGAGGAGAGCAACGGACGCAGGACGTACAGTTACAGCAATTCTTCGTCAGCCACAAATAGAAATACCGGCGGCCTCCAAAGCAGGATGTTACTTTATTCCACCCCGTGAGGCCGGACTCTCTTCAAAAGCAGGAGTCCCTGATGATTTTAACCTTTTCTAAAGACCACAGCATGCCTGCAAACACAACTGACCCTTTGCTAAGCCCCGCCCCCGGCTGCTACTCCGCCATGCTGCCGGTTACCATGGAGATCAGGCTGTCACTAACTGCACTCTCTGAATAAATATCATCCCAATTCTGGAAACGCAACAAATGGGGCCTCAGCAAGGGTAAAGCTAAATATGAGTAAAACATAACTGTGCTTCTGGTCACTTCAACAGTGAGAAAGAGACTTACGATTTCCCCTTATGGATATTTCCCAAATGCAAACATAACAACGCTTCCTTTCCTCCTGCTCACCCGGGGTTCATCTCCAGCCAGGCCTCCAGCTGGCTGGACTTGGGAGCGTCCGTCCCCTGCAGGACTTTGCCGGTCTCCGTCTGGATGACTTTGACGGGCAGCTCGCTCATCTGGCTGCTCTCGTCCAGCGGCTGCAGCGCACAGAGAAAAGCTCCTTATTGCTGCCGTTTGTAACGCTACGTATAATACAAAGGCCCACGGACATAGATGATAAGCGATCAGACCGATTGACCTGTAATTGATTGTTGTTACATAAGCGTATCCATTTCTAAAGGAGGGGGAAGACAAAGAAGAGCCTTTGGGAAGCTGCGAGGATGAGCAAGCACTGCTTTATTATTTAAGAAGTAAGGATCAAGCCTCTGAATGGATATTTACTGTGTGATTGAAATGAAGTGCAGGTTTGGTTTCACCATCACACAGCAGAGCATGAACGAAATATGAAATAGGCTCCAAAAAAACAACCAAATCAGTATAAAAATGGATGGATTATTTAGATTGGATACGGGTTACTATGTTATATTCTAAAAACATAACCGCTTTAAAGCAGAAACATGATGTTAAAAGATCTGTGACTCACCTCTCCATCCGGTCCGATGGCGCTGGTGCCTTCACCGTCTCCAACCTCCTTCTAGACATCACAAATGCTGTTAATCTACAGGTGTGTGGGGGGGGGCTTAACGTGCAGGTAACATGGTGTCATTATGTCTCAATAACTGCACAGCTTCCTCCGTCCCGCCGTCAGGGGCCGAGGAGGAGCTCTCCATCCAGTCCGGGGTCACGCGCCACGGTTTGTACGTGAAGTGCCACGCGCACAATTGTTGTTGTTTACTTTGGTGTGAATATCCCCCACCTGACTGTTCCTGCTCTCACCTTCTTTTTCTTCTTCTTCTTCTTCTTGTCCTTGGCGGCCTGAGCCGCTTTGTGCTCGTACACCAGCGTGGTGAGGTTGGCCACGTACTCGTCCGTCTGCTGCAGCAGGTAGGCCAGCCGCTTGTCTTTCTTCTGGTCGATCAGCTTACGGTAGCCTTCCTCATCTTCTGCCTGAGGGGGGGGTGAGAAAAGGGAGGAGGGGGGGGCAATGGAGTGAGTTGGGACCATTAAACAGGGTTTGCTGGTCACTGTCAGGAATGAAGAGTCTCTGCTTACTACTTCGGATCGTTGGGACGGTTCCACCCTTAAATCACCATTCAACCAACTGTTTTATCAGTTCAAACATTTGAATTATCTGGTATTAGATAATAAGATATTATAATATATTAGATAATATCTTATCGCGAAACCTGAATATCTTTCATTAGTGGACAAAACGAGACATTCAAAGACGTCATCCCGGGAAACGCTGAGATTTTTCACCATTTTATGGAATTCTAACAACTAATTGATTAACTAATTAACTAATTGACTAATTGTTGGATCAATTGTCACTGACATTTTCTTATTTTAATTGTAGTTGCTCTGTAACGTGTCGGCGATGTCCTGAGTTGGTACAATTATAATAAATAATAATTAAGTGATTCAGTGTTACAGATTTTACTTTTCAAGTTGCATTCTTGCACTAATTTCATTCACCAGCCCTCAAAGTCTCTCATTACCTTAAAATATGCATTTTCCAGAATGACCAGGGCTAGTTGGAAATGAAGAATAATTATTTGATTAATGGTGGCTTGTATTAACATTCAGACGGCAGGCTTGCCCAGAAATAAATTCTACAAAATACAATCATTCAGGATTCTGGAGGTGCGTAATGTGACAGTTCCCTACAGATGAGTCCATCCGCCAGGACCTCAGTGAACGCGACAGCAGGAAACATTATTTGAAATAAAAGAAAAAATATTCAGCAGAGTAACTTTTACTCCAGATACTACAATGTATTAATCATCTAATAACTAATAGAGGACAGAGGCGTTATTCAGTGAGCTCACATGCTGACAGCAACCCCCACATCTCGTTGGGCTCATAAGGAGCAGGGACGCTGGTGCATTGATTGGCCGTGAGATGGACCTCATCACTACTGTGCAGCTGGGATCAACGTGTGTGTGTGTGTGTGAGATCCTCCCGAGACGTCCTTTACCATCAGTCTCCTCATCCTCTCCTTCTCGATCCTCTCCGTCTCCTTCTTCTGCTCGCGCTCCGTGTTGGTGTGCCAGTTGGCGATGGCTCGGGTGAGCTTCTGCATTTTGCCGGACATCGAGCGGTGGTAGTCTTTGAAGTCTTTGGCGTGCTGCAGGATGCTGTTGAGGTATTCCTGTAAACACACACAACTTGTTGAACGTCAAGTCCCTTTTTTCCTCTGGTAGTTCACTGCCAAACTTCCCGGGAACAGCGCGATCACCTGGTGCTTCTGCCGGCGCTTCTTCTCCTGCTCCAGCTTCTGCTGCTTCTCCAGCTTCTCGGTCATGCGAGCCTCCCTCAGCGTCTGCCGCTTGCTGCGTCTGTACGCCTTGGAGTTGAGCGCCGTCTCCAGGGTCGTGTCTCGCCTCATGCACGCCACCACGTCCTGCCTCAGCTGGAGGAAACGTCGGACAAGTTTAACACTTTAAAAAAGGAAAAGAGCGAAATGAAGGAAGGGCGGCTTGTGAGGAATCAGCACGCGCAGCAACGGCCAGAAGTCCAGCTCACTTCTCACAGGAGGTTGTTGCTTTGTGTTACTGTGAAGATGCTGGCAAACTACGTATTCACGTATTAGATTCAATTGTAGCTCAATTACTATTTTACAAGATGATTAAGTCATTCTGCAATATTTATTACACACTAGCAACTGCCACAATGTTGTGTATTCTTGCTGAAAAAAACATGTTCAAGATTCCTCTTTCCCCCTCTCTCGTTTGGTATTACTTGTCTATTCCTGTGATCTGTGCTTTTATTGGTGTTTTTTATTTTCTTTAAAAGCGCTGCCTGAATAAAATGTGTAGTGTACTTTTTACCAACAACTGTCGAGGTATCACTAGAAAGCAAATCTGAGTAAATTGAATTTCTGACTCCGAAATCCTTCTTTCATCCGCTTTGGCGGCGGAGGAACTAAAACCGCGGTTTAACCCCTCGAGGGGGGAGAAGCAACCCCCCCGCTGTGTGGATTCGCCATCAGGAGGTGAAAGAGGGAATCAGCGGCGTGTCTGACTGCGACTCATCGCGGGGGAAATGAAATGAGAGGAAGCCGCTGCCGGGTACCTGCCGCTGGAAGTTGAGCAGACGCAGCGCTTTGAGCTCCACCGTGGCTTTGTTCCTCAGGTCGGGGGGCAGCGAGCCCGGCAGGCTCTCCAGCTCCTGGATGCGATGCGCGATCCGGGCCTGCAGCCTGCGGGAGGGAACACGTCTCAAGCCGCGAATACAAGAAGATCCGAGGGATCCGGGTCAGGATGTTTGTCCGTGTTTAAAGTTTCAAAGGGAAAATTGAGGATTCGGTTCGACTCCGGCTCATATTTCTTTTCACCGGAATCCAAATCCAGATTGTAAACAGCTTGTGCTTCGTAATCCTCTCATGCAGCGTCTCCTCCTCTCGTACCCCCTCCCTCCCCCCCCAGGGTAACGACTCGTAATAATTCATCAGCTCTGCCTTCATTGTCTTGATTACTCAACTGCCTGCGATGTTTATCAATAAACAATAAACTTCTGTTTCATTCCGGCGGTGTCTGCGGTCCGGGCCTCGTGTTCGGTGCTCTAATTGGCCCGGCGGGATGCAGAGAGGGGGGGTGGGGGAGGGCGGGTGAAGAAGAGATCATCAGAATACGATACCAGAGGCTTAAAGTTGCATGAAACCTTTCCGATCGAAGACCTGTAGGCTTCGTACTACAGGTGGAGTTCACAGGTACGACGGGCGGAGCACTAATCGATGTGCAATATTGTGCGAGTCATATTATCGCTTCTGATTTTCACTTAAGATTACTTCAAACGCACAAGTTCGTTGGTTTCCTCTTATTTTGAAAATCTTTTAGATGTTGCGGGCTAACGAGCATCAAAGACAGTTGTCGAGTAGAAATGCGGTGGATACGCGTGCGTGTGCGTGGAGGAGGTACCTGTACTCCCTCTCCTGCAGGATGCCCACCGGGTCCAGGCCCTGGGGCTTCTGGATGGGCGTGATGCGGTTCTGTTTCTGCATCTGGAGCATGGGGGACACTTGCTGCCCCGGGGGCTGGGGGGTCACAGGGCCGCCCGGCACGGGCCCGGCCGGCAGGGCCGAGGCCTGCGGCGGCGCCGGGGACGGCCGTCCGCTGGGTGCGGGGGGGAGGTGCTTCTGAGGGTTGGCTTGATTTTCAGCCACCTGACCTGGAGACCAAAGGCGCGTTAGCGGGTCGCTTCACAGCCGGGTGGGGTCACACGGGCGGAGTTATTCTGATTAATCCTTAATGGATTAAGCCTCCCCATACATTACTTCGGATTCAAACCTTTTGCTTAACTTGATATGATTATTATTATACAGCTATTTGGCGGAAACGTTTTTTCCAGCTCGTGATACACTAACGTTCATCTCATAATCATTAAAGAGATTCCAACCATTGGTTGAGAGACCCGCGTTGTGTGTGAACACTGCGATATTAAACTCAGAGAGCTACAGACAAGTCAATGAATAAAATATTTCAGAGGTGGGTCAACGCTCTTTCCACCGGAGAACCTCGGCTTGGCGTCAAATGTTTATGAGCAATATTTATGAAGAAAATAAATGAAGAAAGAAAACGCACTTCAAAAGTTTGGAAATCAAAGGAAACTATTTTTGATGCTAAAAACTTTTGGATCCCAAAAGGCAAGGACCCCCCCCTCCCCCTCCAGATTGCATCATCTTTCCATGCCGGCTTCAAAAGGATTCACCTTCAAAGAGAATCTGATGTAAGAACGCGCACATCAAACCCACCTGTCGCTCACACAGACTCTCTCACTCGGCTCGTACTCACCATCAGACCAAGGCTTGGCGCCCGCGCTTTGGTTGTGTCCTTGCATGGTGGGGGTGGGGCAGGGACTCGACTGGGGGCCACCCAGAGGTGCCATCGGCATACCTTACAACCCAATAACAATGTGGGAATGATTATTATGTGACGTCCACACGTGGTGTGAGAATGTGACGGAATTGTTCTGCTTCTCTCTCATTCATAATCAGCAAAAACGGGTTATTAGATCGATGCGTCTTACCTGGAGGCCTGTTGTAAGGGCTCGCGCTAGGTGCCTGCTGCTGCTGCTGCTGCTGCATTGTGGGTAGACTCCTCTTGCCCTGAACAGCCAGCTGGAGGTTATCAGGCAGGGGTTGCCCCCGCCCGAGGATCTTGTAGGCCAGGATCTGAGCTCTGAGCTGCTGCAGCTGCACCGGACTGAAGGCAGAAGGTCCCCGAGGCTGCTGGCCCATGTTGGGAGCGGCGGACTGGGGGTCCAAGGGCATCATGGGGCCCGACTGGGAGGGGGGCATGTGGGGCGGCGTGGGCCCCCCACCTCCTGACATGGGACTAGAAGCGTGCTCATGGACACCCATGGGGGACGGGTGGGGGGATATGTATCCTAAACGTCAGAGGAGAAATCACATCATTCCAAACCTGGTGGTCGGACGATTATTAAAGAGAAAAACAACAGATTCATTTTCTCTGACACAAAGTCCCTTGAAGCGGTTAAAATCCCTTAAATGATTTCTTGTCAATGGAGTAATTATTCGTACTCTTTGAACCTATTAAGTCAGTCTAAAACGGTGTGAGTGGGAATAATCACAATTGAATTGCCCTCATTGTAATCTGGGAGGTATGTGCAAGCTGCGGGTTAAGCTATAGTTAATAGAAGCATCGTGATTCATTTGGCCTGTTCAGACAGCTTTTTGTGTAATGGACAGGAGACCTTGGCTGTGCTGGTCCATTGGACTCTGCGGAGGACCCATGCCGCTGTGCAGAGATCTCATCCCCACACCTTTCATGTGGCCAAAGTGCATCGCGTCTGCCATGCTCTTCTCGTTCATCCCCTCCATGGTCTGAGAGCAGAAAAAAGAACATTCGGTCACTGCATGTGATTGCACATTCTCACCACAGACCTCCGACAGACTGATCATCATGCTGCCTGATAAATCAGACTGTTGACAGAGTTATAAAGAACTAGAACATTGTCCCCGGGCAAAGTTGGGAGGGGACACCAGCCACAAATGACGTTAAAAGACGGCAGCTGGAGCTGCATGTGGGTTGTTTGTATTCAACAATAAGCAGACAGGCTGTACCTTGTGATACATGCCATCCTGAGAGTATTCACTCTGTCCCTGCATGCCATGAGAGGCGTTGGGTGTTCCAGGTCCAGGGCTGGGTCCCATCATGCTGTGAACAGAGCCCGGTGAGGGGTCCGGTCCAGGGCTGGGGCCCAGGATGGGCCCCGGGGAAAGACCCGCCCCCGGCGAAGGGCCAGGATGTGACATTCCACCTGCCGCGTCTGAAGGGGTGGACATCTACTGAGCTGCTGGGAGCATAGCAGACAGCTGCACGGGGGAAAGAGGGGGGACAATAGTGGCTGATTACATCACATAACAAACTCGGGTATAAACTGCTGCATTTCATGTATGAAATATAGTAAATAAAGTATCGTCTTCTTAATAAAAGGAAGCCTTCAGCACACACTGGACACGATATCACTGGTCCTCCTATTTCTGTAGCATGGGGGACACTTTGGCTGTTCTACTGGGAACGTTTAGGATCCAGCGTAGATTGTAATGTCACATGATTACACAGAGACTTGACATTGGCTAACACGCCGTTATCATAAAGGCATAGAAAGTACCAATTTGAAGTGGTGTGAATAGATTATTTATAGTCTTTACAGTTCATGTAGGCTTATTATTTTGTTATAGATGACAAACAAAAAAAGGAAAACAACAACTTGTCAAGGGCTTATAAAGCAAATGGCACATTTAATCTATAGACGTTTTGCTCAACAGATTGGGCCTGTTAACTGTATGTATGGTCGACCTGCCTGCTAGAGGCAGACCCTTCAGTATCTGAATTAATAATCAATCAATAGATAACATCATTTATGCATTTTTAATGATTCTAATACTTCTCTCCAGTCACCACTGCCTCCAAAGGCCCCAAATCCCCAAAGAATATGAAAATCAAATCAGAGTGAAGAGACCTGTAAAAACACCACCGGGCCTAGTAAACAAACACCTGTCTTCTATGCGATCAGTGGACATCTGGTCCATCCACTGTCCCTCTTGGGGACTGTGAGTCCATCACTTCCTGCTGTCAAACCTCACAGCCCTCATAACGCGATCCCCTAAACCTCAACAGCGTATACATGTTCATTCGTGATCTCAACACCATGACTGGGATCCGCTGTACCGCGGTCAGTCAGTCATTAGCACAATCGACGCTGAACCCACATTTCCAACTGAGAAAAACAGACGGTTTTTACAGCGTTAGAACAGACGTTTGAATCGATCAATTCAGCAATGATGAACCAGATAAAATAACCGGACGCAGGTTTTATTAATACGTTAAGCATCGCGATGGGTCGCGTCGCCCCCGCGCCGTTACAGTAACGCTAGCTCGCTGTGTTTATCCGTCGAGCCAACGCGACGCTAACTGTGATTGGATCATGGCTTTCACCAAAAAGCGGGTGGCCATCGCGGATCTGCAGCCTTAAATCGATGTTCCATGAAAGTCGGGCGCCTGACGCGACCTTGGCGGATTGTTAAGGGGCCCAAATCGACTTTAATGTTACATTTAGAAGCACGCGGGTTCACAGAACCGAACCAGCGGGACGCGGTCTGCTTCGCCCGATCGAAGGGGAACTTAACGTTAGCTAACTGACGTTAGCTAGCGTAGCTACTAGCCTTGCTAGCTACCTAGCTAGCTACCCCCGAGCACCGAATCTCCAGCTAGCGAACTGTCCCCGTTTGAGAAAGTTTGGTCAGTTAGCTGAATGCCAGCCGGCTACATGACCGTCTTTATAACAGATGACGCGCCGTTGGTCAATTTACCTTTCGGCGGAACTGTAACTGCAGACGATAAGAGTACAATATTGTAAGGTTAATGTTTCTTCAAAATATGACTGCTGAACAAAAGTTCACTCCCCCTCGGTGTTGTTTTGCTGACATGTTAAAGTTCGGCTTCCTTCGCCATTACTGATTTGTCAATGTCACCGGAAATCCGGTCCTCTGTGCTCAGTGATTGGCTGGATCTCACGCCAGTCATTTGTGTTCGGCTCCTTGGGCGTGAAGCTGCCCTGCAACCATTACTGTAACTTTCTGGTTAAGTGGGCATTACTGCAAACAAGACGATGTACTCTGAAATTGTCAACCCTGATTAAATCAAATATGTACACAATAACGTGTTTAATACTGTTAAAAGCACCCATGTAAGCTGAAAATGGGTAATAAAATCTGCTGCTCTTCAAAATCGTATTCATTTTGGTAGATATAGGTTGGTGTACCACAAATTACCATTCATTTTAAGGTATTCGTGAATGATTATTTCAACCCTATCAAATGATAAAAATATATATTTGGCAGGTTCTTGAACCACTACAAGTTTTATACGACTAGTTACCACATACTTTTCACTTTACAATCTCACAAATAATTCTAAAACACTGCTGTGAAACATAGAACATGTTTGGAGATGAAACAACTCAACTGTGCATCAAGCACATATTGCTAATAATACTTTCACTCTCTCTGAGGCAAAATTATGATCCCCACTTGTATATTTACAATGTAGTATTGCTACCGTATTTTTGCCACCCTGGCTTGCTAGATCTGAAAGTTTCTAAGCAAGTATACTATTTGTTTTTTTGATGTTAGCAGCTCTTTAACAAAGGGAATACCTTAATTAATGCAAATTGTTCAATGTCATAAATCAAATTAACCTGAACGCGAGTGGCCTACAGAGAAAGACACTATAATTGCCTGTTTCCAGATGTTCCAAAACAACAAAGCAATAGTGTTTGGACAATGCACTTTTCTAAATGAAAAAGCTACCCTGGGAGACCTTTTTACATGTTAGAGGAAGCCGTCTCAGCGGTCCTTAAAGGGAACACAAGATGGCACCAGTGACCAGCTGTTGCCCCAGTAAACTGGCCCCAGCAGCTGTGTGCTGAAACATCTGCAGGTGATGAATTCCCCCAGACTTCAGAGCGCTAAACAAAACAAAGTCAGAGTGACGAACGGCTGGCCCTCATTTACGTGCACTAACTTGGTGCGTCGGATGACAGCAACGTGGAGTTTTAAAGGCAAGCCATGCAAACGAGGCCCGAGTTAGTCGAGCTCCATTTGCATCCTGATATCAACAACTTTGTTTTCATTATGAGAAAAATGAAGCGGGTTTTACTGGGCATTTGTTTGCTTGCTTGCTATTGCTTTTTTCTGTCCTGTTTTTTTTTTGTTCATTGTAGAGTTCATAATTTGTCTGCATTTACATCAAGTGTATTTTATACAAATAGTTTAGAATAAATATTAGAACTGGACCTGTTTTAGGACTGAAATATCTCAATATTCAAATAGTTTCTTGATCTAGCTAATAAAAATATTTAATATTAGTATGAATCATTTCAAGTTAAAAAGATCAACACAGGTGCCTCTCTGATCTCCCAGTCCTAAATCTCTCTAGTCATATTTGTGTCTTTATTGTCACCAAACATCTACACAGGTGACCATGTAAGTCATTCAAAGCGCTCTGGTCTGACAGCCCATCATTTGAATACCTCAGTAAACAAAGCCTCACCTTTAAACTTTGATCTTGACTTCCCCTCCTCAACATTTCTGCCCTTTTTTAAATGTCCCCATAAAGGGATGTGCACAGGGTTCCTGAATGTAAATTTTACCCAAATAAACATACCTGATTAAGTTTGCGGTTAAAGCCGCCGCCCCCCTCAGATTCAGCGAGCCAGGAAAGAGCGCGGCCGCAGGGATTTGGCAGTGAAAGGACTAGTGGTTGTGGCTTCCACTCACCTTGAAACCATCCGTAAAAAGGCTCCGGTGAACCGCCGGCGTGACACTTTATTCAAAGCCTGCAGGTTTTTAAATGGATGGATTGAACAATAGATCACCGAGGTGCAAAGATGAGCCTTCCATCCGTCCTTCTTCTCCTTCTTTTGTGATAAATCCTCCTCTTTGTTTGTCTCTGAAACGACAAAGTGAAATAAATCTGTCTCCAATCAAGATCTCTAATGCAATGTGTAAAGGGATGAATCATTTTTCGTATTTTAGATTTTATTATAATTTAAATTAATTTATTATTTATTTTATCCAAAGGCACACAACACAACCAAATGCGTTCTTTTATTCTTTAGTATTTCCTTTTTATTTCACTAAGATAAAAACAAATCTCACACGAGCTCTTTATTAAACAGCGAGTAAACCTCTAAAGAGTCTTTCAGCTATAAGTTCATTGTAACAAAACTCTGCATGATTGATCGCCGTGTACAATATTTGTATTAAGTGAGGGAGCTTTGCAAAGATGACCGTCTGTTTTCACTATCACATTGACAACAGCCAGCGATACACACACACACACACACACACACACACACACACACATACACACACACACGCATGCACATACAGGTGTGTGCAAACAAAAGGAGTGTTATAATTAGTTTTACATGAGCCACATTTGGCAGCGGGCTGTTTGCTTTTGCCTGTGTCATCGGAGAGTCCCATTTGAATAACCAATGCTTACATTGTGGTGCACTTATTTTTATATCTGCGTCAGATGATGGAGTGGTTGTTTTAACAGGGAAGACAGGCGGCATTTAAAATATCAAGAGGCCACATTTACTGTGATTCTGGAAAATGTGTCCATGTCCTCTCCTTTGCTTTTAGGGCGTTGGATCGCTTGCTACTTTCACACTAACAGTCACACGCAGTTTTTCTTAGAGGAAGGATTGTGTCCACACATTATTATTAATATTAGCAGCGGAACCATTTTGTTTCTATTTTCCTTCCTCTCTCCCTTCCGTATTTTCATCTTATTCTTGTTCTTTGTCCTTTGCATTTTCTTTGTTTAACATCTACTTATTACTTTCCTTTTTCTGCTAATTCTTCTCAAGACACTTCTCAAGTACAGAGTGCAGCGCTAAATCAAATAATGCATCTTCATGAATAGGTGTTTGGCAGCCAGAAAGCAAACTGCTAGTCAATAGTTAGTCACAATAGCTCTCTGAGCCTTTTAAAAAGTCGTCTTTAATGGGCTGTTCACCTTCGGCACAGAGAGAACAAGCTGACTCGCTGTTGGCAACAGACAACAAGTTAACCACAGTTAACCGATTAAAAAAGGCTTCGACTTGTGTCTCAAAACGAAGAGCCGCCTTTCCAGTAAATAGCTCATGAGAGCTAGTTACCGTAGCAACGGTCAGCTGCCAACAGCCAGTTAGCAGGCCAGCGGGCTTCATCAAAGAAAAGGCTAATAAAGTGACACGCCGTGTTCGTATCCTCCTCCCAACCGTTTCCCTTTTGTGGAGTCTGAAAAAAAAAAGTTCCTCTGTGGCCCCCCGGGGGGCCGTTTGCGTGGCCTCAGTCCTCTTCCTGAAAACGGTGTCGCCCGGCCTGCTCTGCGTGCCCCTCACTGCAAGTGCTTCCACAAGATTTACGGGCAGGTGCGCCATTACAACCCCGCCTCCCCCAGAGCGTGATTGATAACTCGTTTGTGCAGCAAAGTACACTAAGACCCCGCTTGTGTGGCTTTATGCTCAATCGTCGGCCCCCCCTCCCCCGGTCTCTAGCTCTCGCTCTCGCTGGCTCTCTCTCTCTCTCTCTCCCCGGCGTCTGGTCCACGGCGATGGACGCTGAGATCCTTTTCCAAGATGGTGGGGGGGGGGGGCGCTGTCAGAAGAAGCCTCTTTGTAGTTTGCTCTGTTCGCAGGTGTTCCGGCATCCGTTGTTGGACGTTACGAGCTGCCGGACATCTGGAGGCCCGGCGCCGAACCGACGCAGCAGCTCGTCTGATAACATCTTCTGACCGATTACACGTTAAGCAACACGTGCACATACGGCCTTCCGGACAGTGTTACGTGTTGTACTGAGGTGTTTCCTGTGCAGAAAAAAATGTTTCTCTGTTTTGCTGCATTCTGCTGAAAAAGGAAACCCTTTTTTATCATTTCTTAATTGAATTGACATAAACAGAAAGTATATGAAATAAATACAGTAAATAAAGTAAACAAAGCCTCACGTTTAGACTTCTTGACTTCCTCAACATTTCTGCCCTTTTTTAAATGTCCCCATAAAGGGATGTGCACAGGGTTCCTGAATGTTAACTTTACCCAAATAAACATACCTGATTTTTTTCTTTCTCTGTTCTGCTGGATTCTGCTGAAAAACGAACCCCTTTTTTTGTGATTTCTCAATTGAATTGACATATCAGTATGAACACAAAGTATATGAAATAATTACAAAATAAAAAAAAAGATGTTTTCACAACTGGAATAAGGCACACAGCGTGAGAATGAATGGCTGAGACAGGTAAGTACTTTGTGAGGGTCGGGGGTCGTGCTCCGTCACGGTTGAAGTAATATTCGGTTGTTTGGTTAGGGAACAATCATGGACGTGGTTTTAAAGAAACCTGACTGGCTGGAGGAAACAGGAAGCCAGCCTCCTCCCTCCAAGGCTCTGCATCGACACACGTCTCTCCCACGGGACCAGAATCACGGACCGGACGTTGGTCCAACAGTCGCTAAAACACCTGGTTTGGACGCGGTTCGTCCTGCGGGGCCCAAACATATTTTCCTCTTGTAACTTTCAAGGCAAAGTTCTTTTAACTCATACATATTTATTTAATAAATAGATTTTCTCCGCCTCTAACAATGACGGTGTTCATCACTTTGTTATTACATAAATGAATGATGTAACTGTGCGTTCCCAGAGACATTACGAAGAAGGAAGGAGGCGCCGGGCTGCAGCGAGGAGACTGAACGCCTCTATTTCCTCGTCCTGCACCCGCCTGGAACCGGATGAGACCGACTGGTTAGTTTGGCTCTCTTCTCGCCCCCGAATGGTGTTTCAGGCCCTTTCAAGTTGTAGCTGAAAGTCCATGTGTTTCGAACTTGTCACAGTGAATCGCCAGGGTGGGAGGGAGGGTGGAAGGGAGGGGGGGTAAACCCAGGAATACCTGCCCACCACCCGCGCAGGGCCAGCA